AGACTCCATCTTAAACCGGAATTATGGGTAAAAAAGGACTCATGCGGTCGAGAATACTACTGATGGTCAACTGATTGCCTTATTTACTCACCTATTTACTTTAGACTGCTAAAGCTGAGGTATTGAGCTTCCTATAGTGCACTATTTTAGCCATCTTTAGCCGTCTTAATCCATCCATTTTTACTGTTAATAGAACCTAGAAATCAATCCCAGGCCTATTTGTCGCTATCTCCACAGCATCGGCGTTTACTTAAACGTTTGGGTCTGAAGAGAGTTTACCGAAATGAACTGCTAAATCTGAACTGATTTCTAACCTTGATTCAGGTAAACGAAATAGAGATAGTTGCTTTGCTGGAGAACAGCATTATCCGTGATTCTTTTTAAATTATGTTCGCATTTGACGTCATTGCACTCTTCATTTTTCTCATTCACGAAATCGCTATTGAAACCATGGTAGTGCTATTTCAGAATCAGCTGAGAGCAACAACAATCATACAACCAAAGCATTAAAAATAGTTCCTACTTTGGTGGACAGTTATGCTATCAGCTGAAAAAATATCCAATGGGATACTCAATAGCTGGACTCATTGCTGAAGTTTTGATGCAATAATTGGAGCGCACTGTACTGTCATCTATCAGTTTAAATATTTTGACAATTCATGTGCGCGCCACGTTTATCATCATGGAACGAAAAGGAATACAGAAGACGCATGAGTTGTTCAACAACGATCTCATTAATATAAATTTTACAGTTGAATTGGAGAATGACAGCTGTTGATATGTACGGATGTATGGGCAACAGGATCACCGACGGGACATTACACACATACGTATACCGAAAGAATACGCTGCTCAGATATTAAACTACCACAGTAATCACCCAATGAACCGAAAAAGGAGCTGCGCTCAAAGTTCATTCAAGCGAGCAACAACCGACTACAGAACAACTGCATTGTGAAGGCTAGAAGAATATCATCCATATGAGCATTTCAAAAGAACGGTTATGCGAAAACTTCATCAGAATTAGCTTAAAGAAACGAAGACTTCACCGACAACAACAGCCATGAGAGCAAACAAACAAACGAAAGAGCTGCCGTATATTAATAATGTTTCTAAACTGACAGGACGGTTGCTATAGTTACCCGAAATTTCGGTGGCTCAAAACCAAGTGCCACAGTAGGAAAACTGATTTCCAAGGCTAATGATAAAGTGTACGAGATTAATCACAATAATTGTATCTTCCAGATAACATGCAACAAATGTGACAAGATCTAGATTGGAAAAACTGGTAAAGAGCTTCGTACACGCATCACCGAGTACAAAGCTGCTGTAAGAAAACAGGAGGTAAATACGCTGGATTGCGTAGATGAAGATCGAGAAGGTCACTACTTTGATCTGGAAAATGTGGACATTCTGGCACATGGATGTACAAAACCTGCAAAGAGACTTCCTGGATTCATGGCAATCAACAACTAATTCAATTAACCGGCATATTGAACAGGACACTTAGGTGAAACATTACGGTCGAGGGACCGCCACCCAAAGGAATAAATCCGGTGGAACGAACGACATGTTTGCGCACTGGATAAAGCAAGCAGCCAAAAGGCACAAGTCGGAGAGCTCAAGGTCAAAGGTCAACTATTTGTCCAACATGCTTAGTGTGACCAGATGTCCAAGCCTAATGGGTTGTTGATCTCCCCGACCAAACATGAGAACAAATAGAAGCTTACGCACAATCTCATCAGGGTTTTCCGAAGCTAAGCTACTGGTTACACGCTATACAATAACGAACTGAGAATGTCATCTCGACTGATAGGAGAAGGTTTGAAACATGCTGCTAAGCTCAGCGGGCAGTTTGGCATTCACTAAAAGAAACTGAGCTACCAAATTTTGTGCTTATTACGTTTTATCTCTGCTACGTTGGAGAAAGCACATTAACATTTTAACCAAATACTTAGTCTCTACGCCAGGCAATAAAGAGTAACACAGAACAAACCACTTAACTGCTATGAGCAGCAGGTAAGTGAGGTATGAACTTCACCTAGGCAAAATAACAAGCATGATTCCTGTTTTTGCCTCCGACTTTACTGTTGACATTCCTGAAAATTCTGATGATTCTCACATCAAAGGAGTTAATCCAAGGATAAAGACGCCGATGGAGTAGGACTGCCGAAGATCAGAATTTGTTTCAAAAGAGGAATGTGGTAGTTTAATCAAAATGCCGGTCTCAGTTTATAGCGAAGTTGGTGCAGAGACTCATTGGAAGCGACAGTAAGCATAAACAGGAGAAAATAAGATTTGCGCGAATCATATTCTCAAAGAATGATAGGTTACATTAAAAATAAATAGTTGAGGCTTGAGAAAAAGGAAAACAAGTACGAGCGCTTAAGTGCCTGAAGAGAACACATAGATAAAAGCTGTACATCATCATCATCATTATACACATCAGCTAGAGGTGGGAAAACACCTCCGCTATTGCGCCGCAGGTGACATCAAATGAGAATGGCGCATTGCAGCAAGCAAATGGCTGTGATAAGTGTTAATGCAGGTGTTTTGGTTACGCCCATGCTTACGTAATAGGAATGAAGCTACTGACGTGAATCCATAGATAGCAGTGATGAATTTGCTTGCTGTTTCAAACAAAGCTGTAAAATAAACGCTTTGCATGTATTCGCTTTTAAACCACTAGTTAAATTGGATTGCGTCTGTACAAGGTCTATTATTTAGATTTATAACCAAACCAATTCATGTGCTAATTAAGCCTAATCTCAGTGAGTGTTTTGTTCACGATAATGATACGACACGCCTTACTATGAGGGCGAATAAACACAAACTAAATCGTCAGTGTTGTTTTTAGAAAATCATTTTGCCTCACCCTGGCTGATGATAATATTGCATGATTCCGATGAAACAGTGGGCGCAAGCTAGTCTACTTTAGCTAATATTTTACCTTATGCAACTCCAAAAATGATTATATCTGGAAACGTTGTAATTCAATTATGTGATTTATCCGTCCATAAATTGTAAATATTCAACCTGAAGGATATATGCCCACGCCGCTCTTGATGAACAGGTGCGGGTAACTCGGGCCGTTGGCGGTGCCCTGGCATATAACCAACGCCTATTAATTTATCTATGTTAGATTTATAGGTATAAGTTAGGTTATAGTTCATCACGGTCCACTTTCCGTCAGCCGGCTATGGCTAGTCTGGAACTGCACCAGATTCCGGCGTTTCGACCTTTTTGTTCTCAACGGTGGTGCAACTTCGTGCCGAGCACTGCTGGTTTCCGCCCGCTTAACTTCCGGATAACCGCAGCACGTGTAACTTCGCAATGGGTGACAGCCGCGGACTTGTATGATTGACAGTTGACTATGAGATAGATCGGCTTATATTCAACTGCAATGCCAGTAACGAACTGGCGCGTGGAGTTAACCGTTGCCCTCTGCACATTTCGATAGTTGCATGACAGTTGAAAACGTGCAGGGCTATATCACAGTCCATCGTCAATTATTTAGCTTGGTGGCCGTCGTCCATGGCGAAGTGTCACTAGCTGCTAGCATCCGGAAGTCGAGAGGGTTGGGATCAGGCAGGGGTCCACTGGAAGGCGCACCAGTGACGAGACCCCGAAAGTCAAATCAACCGCGGCTGATGCATTACAAGTGTAGCCAAAGCCTGAGGACTAAGATTCGATGGTGATAAACATTCTTTAATTGTACGAATCCCACCAGTCATTAGTAATTCTTACACCGAAATCTTTTCCGCCTCCATTTTGGAATCGTGCACACCAAATTCTTTTGAAGAGAGCTACTTTCGGCTAATTGTGCAAATTATAAACTACAGCGTCTTATGGCAGTTCGTGAGACGTTCGCGGAAATACATCCAGCAGTAAGTGTTTCACGTATTCGCGAAAAGAAAGTAAATGACGGTTTGCTTGTCAACAACATGACTACATATGAATATGTCCTAATAAAAGAAAGTTCGAAGAACAGGAAATATATTTATTAAGACGATAACAGTAGAATAAACCCTGAAATTTTCTAGGAATATGGAAAACCAGGATGAATGATAACAATTAAAACTAACCTCACAAATGCAAAAAAATGTTTGACGAGAAAATAAGCCACTATTGATAAACAGAAAAAAGAGAATGTAAATTTCTTAAAACAGTTGAAAGTATATACTGGTATAACAGGACGTTAGAAGCAATGAAACAGGGGAAGAATTATGACACTTGTATGATTGCTCATCTTCAACACAAATGAAATCTATGAAACACTAAAAATTCACTATGCAAAACAATGTATCTACATGGTGTTTGCAACCACAAATATCTCCCAGGTTGGTTTTAAATAATAGATATAATCATCAAACAATTAAAACAAGCACGGGGATAAAGCGGTTTCACAAAGTAGCTAAATAGATGTTATCCATTACCGTAAGCTGTACGAAAGTTGTCGTTTTGTTTGTTCGCTTTTCTGAAGCATACTTTATTTTCCCATATTAGTACCGTTTGGGCAATAGTAATAACCGTCACACATAAACGCACCTCAACGACGTATTTCATGTTGCCTACCAGAGAGAAATAAGAACCGAATTTACATCATTTTTATATCTACACTCGATGTTTTACAAGCGTTTTTGGGAAGAATACTTCATTATCTGAAGAATTGAGAGAGATATCCATCTTTTAATTTAGTTAGTGTCATAAGCAAAGCCACAGGTAATTTAAGTAAGCTACTTAGAGGTATCACGCCGGTCGAAATTATAAATGGCATTATCCTAAGATGCACAATGATCTGATAAATTTTCATAACAGCAAGCATCAACTTGGGAACACTATTCAAAGCTAAATTCAGAATCATAACTGCAAGCAACCGCTGAAATTTGCCGTCCTTACCATGGATTTAAGAAGCCTAAAACCCGCGTTTAATACTGGCAATGATAGAGTGGTTTTCAAAACCACTACTTCTGCAATGCTTTCAACTCCTCTGTATCTAGTTATACCGGAGGTCACTACAACCAACGGGACGGGTACAACGCCAGTTAGTTCGATGAAACCCACCGATGGAGGTAAGTGTTATTTGCTTCCAATTTTTTGTAAACCACTGAAACATAAGCTGTATGGGAATATTCCGTCGTCAGCAAAATCACATTCTGCAATCGTGGAGTCAAATGGCATCAACCAAATTGCAGAGGGGGACGGCGACGTTTGCTGGGAAATTGCATCAATACTTTTGTTCTGAAAATAAGGTCCTGTGTTTCCATACAAAACACTTTCCCATCTGTCTTTGTAGCCACTTGATCACTGGAATCTGTTATTTACCAACATCATCTGCCATGCCTGCTTTGACTGCTTGCTCTCTAGTTTATAATGCTTTACTCGTAAAGGTCCATGATGATGGTCGACTAGGTGAAGCTACTTAGAATAACTATCATTTTCTTACTTGGGATTCTTACCACACGACGACTGTGGTGTTACCTTTTAAACGTAATCCCATGGACACTCGCTGTTTGCCAGTTTGTGGACATTTCAAGTGGCGATTTCATCTAAACTTCATATTCCCGAAGGGATTTGGCATGGCGAGATTCCCAGAAAAGCTCTAATGCCAAAACCTGGACCGCACACGTGACACATCCTAATTTCTGTGTGAAACTGATCCGAGAAGACAAGGTCACTCATCAGCAGGAATTAAAGAAGTGATCCTGCAAGAACCGCAAGCTTCTGTACAGGAACATTACTGGCCTTCGAAAGGTGAAGCTGGGGTTCCAGCACTCGTCACGGCTGATGCGTGCACGCGATCAGCAATGCAAGCAGCTGATCCCCTACGGATTCATTACTCCCAAACTTTTCGGCAGGTAATGAGCCCAAACATTCTCCTCATTTTTAATACTCGACCATCTTGTTTATATAACATCAACTTCATTGCGGTAGCTGTGTTGAAGAATTTGTTATTCTTGCGTAATCACATTTCTCCCGGAGCCCGCAACATCCGACCAAAGGCTCTACAGGCGGTAGCTAGTGACCTAGCAGAACCACTGGTTGTTTTCTATCAGCGATGTTTAGAGGAGAACAGTATTCTACTAGTATGGAAGCGGGAGGTTATCTCCCCTATCCATAATGGAGGTAGCCGCATCGATCCTGCCAACTACTGTCCAATCACACTACTTCGCGTAATATCCAAATTGATGGAACCAATTATCGCAGATGTGCTGATGCAATATCAGGAAAGTCACAACTTAATAGCTCCAGAGCAACATAACTTTCGTTAAAAGCATTCTTTTAATAATAACCTATTAACTGCAAATAATAACTGGACAGAAGCTGTAAATGTTGGAGTAGGAGTCGATGTCATCCACCTGGACTTTTCAAAAGGATTTGATCTTTTATACCCTCGAATTCTCCTTCAGAAGCTTAGAAATTACTGCATTGGCGACCAAATGCTGAGTTGGATTAGCAATTTTCTACAAGAACGACGGTTAGTGGTGAGAGCCCGTGAATCATTGTCTAATGCAATCGATGTGGCTTGTGGAGTACCAAAGGCTCGGTTGTTAGATCTCTTCTATTCTCGGTGTTTATTAACGATTTGACGAGATCAATTGCTACCGAGTTCCTATTTTTCGTTGATGATATCAAGATATGGCGAGAGATCTGAGGACCGGAAGACCACCAACGGCTCCAGTGTGATCTAAACACAATGTCGAACTGGTCAGTTCAAAACACCCCACCATTCAACGTAGACAATTGTCGAGGTGTAAAATTACGCCATAGATCTATCTACACCTATTTACTTGGGACAAACGGATTGCAGAACAGCTCCTAGGAGTGTGACCTAGGTGTGCTCTTACAGAGCGACCTCAAATGTTCAAAACAAACACAACAAATTTACCGTAGATAAGCGCAATTATCGTAAGCAACGTGGCCAGTTAATAGAAGATTATTCAGGTAGACAGAACCAACCAAATAAAGTGGAATGAAATTTATACAGCTTAAAAATCCCAGCTTAAGTTAAGTTGGTTTAGCTTAACTGCGGTGAAGAAGAATCAAAAATACAACATCAGCCTCAGCGTGCGATGCAGGGCGACCTTGCTGTGCTCAAACGAGTTCGGACAACGAAGATTACTATGGACTTGAGGCACCTCTCGCTTCCGAACAACTGCAGAGACCCTGATTACTCAGTGGATCCACGGGGAGACTTCATATTGGTATACCAAATACTGCGTGATCGCAGTCATGTACGTTGACACCTATAATGGGGAGCACAATGTAGTGTACCGCTAATTTAGTTTAATTTAATTTACCGTTAATTTACTCATGTTGGATGTGGGTCAAGCGCTTACATGTCCTGCGGTCAGCATGCACCTTTTATATGGAGGTCGTGTCTTTCGCCTACGGGTTTGCAACATTGCCTGTTAGTGGCTCCAGCATTTGTAACCTATTCAGGTTTCTGTTTTACTCAATTGTTCGCCTCTTTGATTTCCCGCTCACAATGGATGCTAACCACTAAGTGTTTGGAAGCAGCGTTTTAAGTGCATCTCTTGACTACCGCATGTTTCATTCTGGCCTTGTACCAATTTATCACACCCCATATTGATATGGGTTCATTTCACAATGGCTATAGGCACCGCAATCCTGTGCTTTGTTCTCATGCTGGTAGAGAATCACAAGCATCGCTTGTGCAATGTTTTCATTCATATGATGAGAAACAGTACCCCTACTTTACGGATCCTATCTGACCATCCACATTCATTATAAGTAACTTTTGTTAAACAATGCACGATCGGCCGCGTCACGTTGCCTGGCCAAATATCACCCCATACTCATTGCTAGCAGCCCTGCATATTTCAGTGGTCAGACCAGGTGTCAAATCGTTCTATTGCTCTATCCTCGCCTCATGCTAAGTACGTCCATTCGGCCGTGCATGTGCTCCCCGGTCGCCATTTCGAATTCTTATGCGTTGGTGGGACATAACTGTAAACAACCAACTGGACGAGGCAAGTTACGGACTTTGGTATCAGATGGCAACAACCTGCTTTATGCGCAGGAGACACTGATGAACAATGAACAGTGAACAATGATTTATCACGAGATAAAAGCAAGTGCTTGACATGTCCCGTAGGAAGGTAGCGGTGAATATGATGCAATTAAAATATGTGTGGGTCATCTATCGAACGTCTGCCGAGATGAATACTTTGATAATTGACATCAGTGTAAAAGGAAAAAGAAATATCGCGCGTAAACATTCAGAAAGACACTGGGGCGCTGTGATAGTTGAGGTAAGGAGTGAGAAAATACAATATGGTTGCTCACTTAGGTCCATTTGATACATTAGTCCTGTTGAAAACATGCTTGGCGTAATCCACAACAGAGGAGCTTAGGTAACAAAATGTTGGGAGCTGAGGGCAACATCTAATCGTTTTTTGAAAACATCCAGGGTAGGAGAGGATACAACTGAGTCTGAGAGTGCGTTCCATGGTTTGCAAACTCGAAGGGAAAAGTAATTCCGTCGACACTCTAGACGGCTATATTGTTCCTTCAACTTTAAACAGTTACCCCTGAGCTACGTGTTGTGGCTAAGTTTCAGCAAATGGCGGCATACGTGGTTGGGGTCACTCAATATTTGATACGCTAATATGAGATCGCCGCGCAGCCTTCGATAACGTCCGCTGAAAATTCCCAACATCTTCAGCCTTCTGTGTTAAGAGTGATACCGCAGGCCCATCACGTTCTTTGTTGCTCTCCGTTGTTGTGCCTCTGTCGCTTCTAGGTCGTGTTTCAACCAAGGTTGCCAAGCTTGGATTGCGTACTCAACTTGCGGGCGCATGTAGGAATTGAGCATCACTGGGAAGATTGATGGGTCAAATCTCCCGAATGCCGTTCGCAGCATGCCGACGTGCTGGTTGCCTCTTTTCGCAGCCACCTCAGCCTGTTTTGAACAGTTAAGGTCGCTCTGTACGATCACACCAAGATCACGTTCCTGGGAGCTATTCTGCAATTCCTTTGTCCCAAGTATGTAGGTGTAGTTAAGTCTATGGCGTAATTGTACTACGCGACATTTGTCTACGTTGAACGGTAGAGCGTTTTGAACTGACCAGTTCGACACTGTGTTAAGATCGTGCTGGAGCCGTTCATGGTCATCCGGTCCTCTGATCCTTCGCCATATCTTGATATCATCAGCGAAAAATAAGAAATCGGAACTAATTGTTCTCGCCAAATCGTTAATGAACGCCAAGAATAGACGAGGTCCAAGAACCGAGCCTTGTGGTTCTCCACACGTCACGTCGATTGCATGAGAAAATGATTCTCGGACTCTCACCACTAGCCGTCGTTCTTGTAGAAAATTGCTAATCCAACTCAGGATTGGATCGCCAATGCCGTAGTTCCGAAGCTTCTGAAGGAGAACTCGATGGTCTAAACGATCAAACGCTTTTGAAAAGTTCAGGTAGATGACATCGACTCCAACTCCATCATCAACAGCTTCAGTCCAGCTATTACGTGCAATTAATCGGTTAGTGTTACAGGAATGCTTTTGACGAAAGCCATGTTGCTCTGGGGCTATTAAATTGTGGCTTTCCAAATATTGCATCAGCGCGTCTGCGACGATTGATTCCATCACTTTGGATAGTACGGGAAGTAATGTTATTGGACGGTAGTTTGCAGGATCAGTGCGGCCACCTCCTTTATGGATAGGAGTGATGACCCCTTGCTTCCATACTGGTGGAATAAGGTTTTCCTCTAGACATCGCTGATAGAAAACAGCCAGTGGTTCTGCTAGATCACTAGCTACTGCCTGTAGAGCCTTTGGACGGATGTTATCAGCTCCAGGAGAACTGTGGATACGCAAGGATAACAACTTCTTCAACACAGCCTCCGTAGTGAAGGTGATGTTTTCTAAACCAGATGGTGGAGTATTAGAAATGAGGTGAGTGTTTGGGCTCGACACTTGTTGGAACTTTTGAGAGTAATGAAGCCGTAGGAGATCAGCTGCTTCCATTGCTGACCGCGTGTATCCATCAGCTGTGACTAGCGCCGGAACCCCTCGCTTTACCTTTCGAAGGCCGTTAATGTGCCTATACAGGAGTTTGTGGTTAGTGCAGAATCGCTTCATTAACTTCTGCTGATGCGTGACCTTGTCCTCGCGGATCAGTTTCACACAGAAGTTACGATGTGTAACGTATGCAGTCCAGGTTTCGGCATTCGGGCAACCCTGGTGATTTCGCCATGCCAAATCCCTCCGGGACATACATTTACGTGTTCTGCTCCTCAGAATTGACTTACTCTGGTTTTTGGGTTGGAAGGACTTCTGTTCCGATGCTTGCGCTACCAGTGTGCTCAAAGTCCTTGTAAACATATCCCAGGCCAAATCTGGGGGGCATTCGAATAAGAAAGTCCAAGATGTATCCTTAACAAGCTTGGACAACACATTGTAGTGCGTGACAGTGTGCACTTTATCCTCCTCCTTTTCCGGGTACTCGGCATAGCATATATAATCAAAGAGTAGAGTGACATGATCACTACGACCCAGTGGTGTGCTTGTAATTATCCCGCCAACCATGAGTTCTTCGTTAGTTAGCAAAAGATCCAGTATCGACGGCTTGTTAGAAGTTCGAAATCTGGTGGGAGAGGTTACGTGGTTGTAAAGAGGGTGGATAGCAATAAGTTCTTGCAAACAGGCTTTAAACTGCGTACCGTCAGTTGCCGGCGTTTCTATGTCGTGCACGTTAAAGTCTCCCGCGATAAGAATGTGGGTGTAGGACTTGTTCAAAGCAAACTGATCAGCTGCTGATAAGTGTCACGAAATCCTTGATATGTTGCATGGGTAGTGTGTGACTGAATTAACACGGAAACAGCAAACACCTCAAGGACATGTTTCAGCTTACCTACCAGAGAGAAATTAGAACAAAATTTACATCATTTTTATACATACACTCGATGTTTTACAAGCGTTTTTGGGAAGAATACTACATTATCTAAAGAATTGAGAGAGAAATCCATCTTGCAACTTAGTTAGTGTCATAAGCAACGCCACAGGTATTTTAAGTATCAAGTCAGTCGAACTCATTAATTGCATTATTCTAATATGCGCAATATGTGGTAAATTTTCATAACGGCAATCATCAACTTGGGAACATTCTTACAAAGCGAAATTCAGAATCATGACTGCAAGCAACCGCTGAAATTTGCCATCCTTACCATGGATTTAAGAAGCCTAAAACCAGCGTTTAATATTGGCAACGAGTAAGTGGTTTTCAAAACGGCTACTTCTGCAATGCCTTCAATTCCCCTGTATCTAGTTATACCGGAGGTCACTACAACCAACGGGACGGGTACAACGCCAATCTGGACTGCGCCAGGTAGTTCGATGAAACCCACCAATGGAGGTGAGCGTTATTTGCTTCCATATTTTTGTATACCATTTAACGTTAAGCTGTATAGGACACTTCCGTCGCCAGAGAATAATACATTCTGCAATTACGGAATCTAATTGCATCAACCAGCCGTCAGTAATCATTGGAAAATTGCATCAAACATACGTTATATTACATTAGCGCCCCATGCGTCTCTGCTCTGTATTCTCTAAACTATTTTATTGCTTGTCGGTCAACACTTGTTTTCTTTCCAACCACATCTTCTGCGCGTGCTTTAACTGCTTTTTCTCACTGTTAATTGTCCTTGGCAAAGCTGGCATAGGTGAATCTGCTCCGAATATTTCCTACAAGGAAATACCGGTCGCAACGAGACTGGACCTTAACGTGTTGCGACGGTTTGCGTACCTCATTGACCCATTGAGCTATACTGGGTGATGCCTCCGAGCATCTTGGGAGCTACTCCTACCAGGTTGATCAATGGTGAGAGGTCAGACAAACTCAGTCTCCTGGTCCTCCAGGTTGGGGGAAGCTAGAAGGCACCTCCCGGCTGGTTCTGAACACAATGTGACCAGACGGGCTATTAGGCGTGAACTAAAGCGGAGCCTAGGTGCTGATAAGGAAGCCTGGTGAACCAGTCGGGCTCAAGAAATGGAGGAGGCAGGAGCAGTAGGCAATTACCGGAAGCTCTTCCAGCTAATACACACCACTGGTCCGAGGAAACCAGGCGTCAGTGAGACAATCAGGGACAGCGCGGGTGCACTAATACACAAAAAGTAGCGCCGTATGGCTAGTTGTGCTGAGCACTTTGAACATCAGTTCAGCTGGCCCCCTGCTCCCGGACCTCTTCCTACTCAGGTGATGCAGGACGAGCCATGGACTGTTAGTTTAGAGCCTCCGTCGGAGGCCGAGGTCCGAAACGCGATCACATCCCTCAATCGTTTTCGTGCCGCTGGCCCGGATTCCCTCTCACCTGTACTATTTAAGGCTGGAGGTGAAGTCCTCTGCAAAGCACTGACCTCCCTATTCGAACGTATCTGGAACGAAGAGAGTGTGCCGGCTAATTGGAGCGAATCGATTATAGTGGCAATATACAAGAAGGGCAGTCGCACAGACTGTGCGAACCACAGTGGTATTAGCCTGACGACAGTTGTGACAAAATTACTGGCCTCGATTATCGTTCGTCGCCTCACTGCAGAACGCGAATCTCGGATTAGAGAAGAGCAGGCCGGTTTTCGCCCAGGACGTGGCTGTATAGACCATATATTCACCTTGCGGCAGGTGCTAGAGCAGCGCCACGCATACCGCAGACCGACAATAGCTGTGTTCCTCGATTTCAAGTGTGCGTTCCATTCAGTCGATCGATCGATTCTGTTCGAGATACTTGCGCGAAAAGGTGTTCCCACGAAATATGTGAACATCCTTCGTGCTCTATACTCGAAAACTGCAGGCCGCGTCAGGGTCTATGGTGCCCTATCTTATAGCTTTTCGACTACAAGTGGCGTTCGACAGGGTTGCCCGATTTCCCCGTTTTTGTTCAATTTCTTAGTGGATTCTATCATGGAGTGTTCCCTTGCAAAATCTCACGATGTAGGCGTTGAAGTGCTGCCTGGTGAACGGTTAGTTGATCTAGATTATGCGGACGACATCGTCTTGCTTTTCGACAATGCTAATGCGGCACAATCAACCCTGAATAGCCTATCCAGAGTGGTCTCTTTATTTGGTATGCACTTCGCACCTTCAAAGTGCAAAGTGTTGCTGCAGGACCACCAGCCACTCGATGACCCCTTGACGCTTGCTAACGAGGAACTCGAGGTGGTTGATCAAATCACTTACCTTGGCAGCTGCATCAGGAATGATGGGCGCATAGAAACTGACGTGAGCTCACGCGTTGCAAAGGCCAGAGCTGCCTTCTTGAACCTGCGTCATCTTTGGCGACAGAAGGGAGTTTCCCCCCGTGTGAAAGGCCGTGTATACAAGGCCACAGTGAGGGCCGTTCTGCTCTATGGTAGTGAAACTTGGCCCCTTCGGTCTGAAGATCTGAGGCGCCTTCAAGTCTTTGATCATCGTTGTTTGCGAAGCATTGCTGGTGTCGGATGGAACCAGCGTGTCCGCAACGATGATGTGCGTAGGCGAGTACTAGGTGGTGATGATCATGCTAGCTCCATAGAACAACAGATAGCACTGAATAAGTTACGTTGGCTCGGGCACGTGCTACGCATGCCTGGTCACCGCTTACCTAGGATGGCCTTGTTCAGTATGCCAGGTGTAGGATGGCGCACAGCTCGAGGTGGACAGAAGTTGACTTGGCAGCGGGAAATGAAGTCACTGACAACTAAATTGGGTGCCGTTGGTCCGTCTCGCCTTCCGGGTTGGAGTCCACGTGACTCACCTTGTGCTTGGCTCGAGACTTTACAGGACATGGCTCGCAACCGACACCAGTGGCGCGTCTGCCGCCGTCTCCTAATCGGATTGCGTGTTTAAAGTGTGCTTGGTGCTGGGTTATCTGCGGGGTAATGGCTGATTATGACGCGTGGCAGTGAAAGCCGCAAGGAAGCTGTCTCGCCGATGCCGCCTTATCTTTGCAAGATAGCCAGCTGTTTATGACGAAATGTTGTCTACACAAGGTGTAGGCGCCTTGACCCTGAATGTTTGCTTAGGGTATTAAGGTTTTCAGGTAAGTCCCCCTTCTCTCCCTCTTCTTATTCTTTATTTCATAGGTCCTCATGGTTGTATGGCAGCGAAGCATGAGTTCAAATGGCTGATGTGCTGCTGTTGATGATGATGATGATATAAGGAAATACAAGTTTACGCTTCCATTTGAAATTAGAATGAAAAACTGGTGCTCGTGAATTTATGTTTTCAACTACATGTGCTTCGTTTATATTCCTTTAACTCGCATTTGGGCCATGTCTTCAATGTTTCTGTGCTCTCCACCTGCGATTATGAACATCCGAATAACGTAATATTTGGTTCAATTTCTTTGTAAGTTATCTCCTTTAAGCATTATAACGGCGATACAAATTTATTGAATATTAAGACCACGTTTTCCAAATAATTCTTTATATTTATCATCCACATGTTATGTTAAAGGACAGCCAACATTTCTAAATCCGCTTATAACTCAGGCAGATACCTGCCCATTCCATATTTCTGCTACCTAATTTATATTTTTCACATTAGTGGCTCTGTCGTTTTAGAACAATTATTTTGACGCCAATTTCTCCAGTTTGGTTTTGTCGGTTTATCGGTGTGACGGCTTTTATCAGAGGAAGTTTATTATCCGCATTATCTATGTTCCAATTGATGAGACTGGCTTTTTTCGATGTATGTAACCTATGTATATTTGCTTTTCTAAACAAAGCGGTAAAACGCACTGCGAAGATGACTGGTGTATATATTGCTGTGATTTCTGGAATTCTGTAACAATATCCCGCCAAAAGCAACACGGTTTCCGCTGATAGCGGTCATGTACGACGAGTTTGGTAATCGAACACATTAGTTGGACCCAGTCACCTGACGCTGGAAAAGGACTTGTTGTGATCCACCTTTATTTATCGAAAGCGTGCCATTTTCTATATCATCAGCAGCATTAAGGATCACCTACCCACTTTAAGCTGAATTGTCAACTTGCTACTTTAAAGGAAATTAGTAATCAGATTTCGGAGCTAAATATCGGACCCCATACAAGTAGCTTGTGCTATGCCGCAAGGCTCAGTTCTGGGACCATATTTGTTTTTGGTGTTTATTCATGACCTTACACAGGCAATCAACTCAAACTTCCTATTGTTTGCCGACGATATCAAGACCTGGCGCCTTATCCAGGCGAACGCAAAACCGGCATGTGCTTCAGAGTGACCTAGATAGGGTTTCTCGTTGGTCATCTCAAAACTTACTGAAATTCAATCTCAGTAAATGCAAGGTACTTTTCGTCCGACATCAAAGCAGCGAGTCATACCGGGTCGGAACAAATGTACTAAAACCATCAGCTGGCGAAGGTGACTTGGGTGTCCCGGTTTAAAAGGGCTTGGATTGCTCCAGATAATCCAAAAAGGCCTCAAAGGCTTGGATCAAACATGCCAACTGTTGCGACCGGGCGTCTTGACAAATAAACTGCTCCATAGTTCGACAAATGTTTACTGCGTATGTTCGACCCATGTCGAATACACAATTCAAGCTTGGCATCCATGGCTGAAACACAACCTTAATACACTGAAGAAGCCGTAAATTAGGGCATTTAAGAACCTACTTGGAATACGCATTACTTCATACTAGGAGAAGCTGCAACGATTGGGGTTATTCAGTGGATGCTATCGAAGATTATGAGGTGACCTGATTATAGTATACTTGATTCTGTGAGACTCACATCATGTGTGCTGTCATTTACTACGATTCAGCACCAATAAAACCCTGTGGGACCACACATTGAAACTGTTTGCACAATATGGCCGCTTGGAATGCCACATAATTTTTTCCTTTCGTGTCTATCACCCGTGGAATGCTCTCCCAGAATCTGTCGTCTCTGCACCGATATTAAAAGTACATAAAGATGATTAGATGACACACTCATCCACTTATATTTGATCACTCAGCACTGCGTCTCCAGCCTATGCCTGAATTTTACCGTGGAATTAGTTGATGTTAGCTTGGGTGCTGTGAATCTAAGTGGATAGCAGGACTACGGATGAGCAAACGATAAGTCCTTATTTGCCTATTTGATTAACTACTTGTTTTTCTATCATTACTATCACTATTGTTATTTCGATATGTCAACCGACTCTCCCGCGGACTCTGTAAGCTGCGCTTCATAACCTGTATAAATTCAATGTTCCTTGTTAATTCTACAATACTGAAAACCTGTCCAAATTTCATCGGCTTATTTTCTGTAATAAGCGACAATTTTTTAACCATATGTAGCATTTATCTCGCTGTCACTTTATACGCACACATGACTTTAATTATTGCGTTCTTACAGTGATGGTTGTAGGCTTATATTTACTCTCCTTACAAAGGTGTCTTCTGTAGCATTCCTTTTCTATGTTTTACATAGCCATTCGTCTACGACAATCAGCAGTTTAGTCGTTATTCATAGGTTTTTGTGTATTTTCTCGTGTTATTTCAAGGCACCTACATATGCATAGTTTGGTTGTAATGTTATTGATCTTTGCGAATTCTATTGATGATAGCGTCTCCCTGTGGTGAATTGGCAGATAGATCACTTAGACTATTTACTTGCTTGCGTCGTGTAGCGTGATTGATTTTGGAAGTAAGTTGCTTGGAGCAGGCCGTGTAGATTTCGAGACAGTTGGTGCCACATTTCTCTAAGACAGCAGAAAATGTAGACGAGCTGTTTCGATAACCTAAATGTCCTAATCACGCTTAGTAGCAAATTAATGTGTGTAACACGGTATGTTTTAATAAAAACATGAGTTATACGTGATAATACGTTGCAAACTCGAACATTCTTTTTTCCATGTGTGACTATCGCTTCTCCGGCCGCAACAATGATTATATCGCCTCTGTCGTGTTTTAGCTACAAAAGCCGTGAACAAATTCCCCTTCACCTTTCTCGTTGTTATCTTCATTTGTGAGTTGTTAGTTCCTTTTGAATAAACGAGATGAACCATTAAATGTAATTAGAAAGAGAGAGATTGGTTTGCTCCCCGCGTTTCCTGACGCTCAACTCCGCAACGAATTAATATTGCATGTGCAAATTTGCTAGTTCCCTGAAAGACAAATAAATGGTTATTTTTATTTTTCTCGCTTTTGATAATAAAGGAAATCTGCAACAAACCGAGGAAGGTATAAAACTGTAGTATAGAAAACCGGCTCTGAATTCGCTACCCGGCTTCCGATTTCTGTAAATATCGCCAGAATATCATCGAGGCTAATGTGTGTTGGATGGTATTGGTGTCACAGAACTCATAGACAGTGAGCAATCCGGATGTTGTAAGCCCGGTTTAGTCAATTCAAATTGGAGCATTATGAGTGAATGCTTTTATAGGCTTAGAAAACTAGCCGGTGTTTGATGACTTGTATTTATATTTAACATCACAAGGATGTTAAAGTTAAAATTTTAGTTTAATAATGTCAATCCGTGTTAGGGCTTTATACGTTTCTAATCGACTATTGATTGTCTAAGCGCCATCGGCGGTAATTTTGCGCTTTTCAATACTTAAGCATAAGCGTTTAAATAAGGCAAATCACAAAATAGTTAGTTTCGATTTGCAGATGAATTTTCAAAAGTTAAGTAGAGTATTTCCGACGAAATAAAATGAAAGCTATGCTTATTTGTAACCCGAAATCGAGGTGCTTTGATTTCTACTCCATTCCGTCCGGCTTCAGGAGCCGTATCAAACCGATATTACGGAGCCGGTACACAGACAAGAGAGTTGTCATCATTAATCTGGATTTCAGGCAAAATACACATTATCTAATTAACAGTGAGTTAGAAGATACCAACTATGCCAACTAAGTGGTGAACACCGAAAAACTATCCTTAAATTAACTGGTTCACAGGAATAACGATGGTAAATTCCAACTTGTGTACATCGGGAGAAGGCACACACAGACCACAAAAACTATTTATCAAAAAGCGAAAAGTGCGGTATTCAATGATTTTTCAAACGAGCCGAAAACTGCAGCGCGTCGGAATTGAAGAAGTAGGTAGAGAACCATACATACCTGGTATTTCAAAGCAGCTTGTATCTATTGTGATTTAATGAGCCATGATATGAATAATGCAATCATAACCTAGATAATCCAACATGGTCCCTTAAATTAAGAACGTCTTTGAGCTAAGTATGTGATTGCTACGGGCACATAGAATCGTACAATCATATAAACTTTATGCTAAATGAAGAGAAATATTTCCACTACCGAAAAACAAAGTCAAAAACGACAGTCAATTATTTCTTATAGAAGATAGACTGCAAAGAATAAGACGCAAACTTCCTCGGTCAAACGATAATGGCTTTCAATACGGATAGCCGAACACAACATAGACATAGGGTGGGACAAAAATTTACTGTTCTCCATACAAGAATATCAAGTAGGTCATTGATTCATCTCAGCGAGCGCGAAGATTCTAGCAGATGGAAATCCGAGGCTAGCTATAGAATTCTTGAAAACCTGACATTCAACAGCTATTTCTGTCAAATGACGCATTGAATTAGATGCATGTTACGCAAAACTACCAATAAAAATAATCAAGTTAATCAGTAAAATTTTAACGGAACGAAACCCCAGACTTGCGATTTGGACGACGATGTCAACTGCGGTTGCAAGCGTGTCAACCTCAAGAGGAAGCACTTTAGGTGGTCATCTGACCATTTAAGTTTGCAAGTCCTACTGACGGCTGTTCCACCAAGTAGATCAACCAACCTCACACGCACACAATAATACTTTCACCATGCTGCTCCGCCCCGCTATGTACTAGCGCACTGTTGATTTCAATCGAGTGATGGATAAACGCTTTCAGCAAAACCGCCGCTTCGGTCACCAAATTGAAAACGCGGTGGTCCTGCCACGTTCAAACACCCAGGCCCTTGGTTAGTTTTCACAAATCGCAACCGTTAGGATTTATTGGACTAAGAATGTCTTTGCTTCTGTTTGGTGGATTCGATAGTAAGTTCGTACGCATGTCGCCATATACTGAAAACCTTATCTATTAAAATTTTTGTGTCTATATAATCGTGCTGTTACAAGTTCACTACTCTAATTATTCGGATAAAACAAACTGGCATTGCGGGCCGCAGTTTTGCTGCGTACTTATGCCCCTGCTCAGTTCGGCATCGTTTCCGCAACTACGCCAAGCGCAGATTCTTTACAAGGTTGGAAAAATAGGTTTACGCAATTTTATTCTGTATTGCCAGTCTCTAATCCTTCTGTGACGATGAAAACAGAGAAGACTAAAAGATTTGTGATTGCACCTGAGATCTAAATGTCGCCGAATCTCAGACGTCCATCAACATCTGCCTAAAATAACGCCTTAGCAATGTTGGATAAGCATTGGTGGGTTATCATGAACTCATACATATACAGCGAAAAGTCTTTGTATTGAACACATACAACGGCTGAAAACTTGGATAATTCCATCTCTTGCCTCGTAAGTTTTGTCACTAATTACAAATATGACGATGTTCTAAAAAATAACTAAGGAAAATATGTAGTCATAAAAACATTTATCAGTACCGTCGGATTATCGAATTCGGAAGAGACGATTAATTGTGGATAGGAATAAAGTCTAAAGGGACAGGGCATGCAATATATCTCGCGCGGTATTCGCAGTCAATGAACTAAAGGTTGTTTATTCCAAAGCTCTCGCCCCCTAACTTGAGTAACCATATTCATCAGTTTCTCCAAAGGTATGCGCAGATAAAACGAAGGTTTCTTTTGTGGAAATATTGAACACAATGCAAACAGTAGATCGTGATCTGCAAATAAATTGATTTGTTGAAGCTGCTGTGATTCTGGTCATTTTGCCCGAACTTGTATCTCTGGAACTATTTCGCGCCTTGAAGTGTCCACAGCTGCTACTACGGCTACTATGGCCACCGGTGAAAATGTTGCATTTAGAGTTAGATAACTTTGGGTATCGACTCATTTGCGTTCTCAAGAAATAACACTAGCCTCATCTGACATTCGATGTGTGTTCCATTAAATACGAAGAATATTATTCGTCTAGATACGGAGCCCAAATTAGCGTCACCATATATGATGGCGCTATATGTTTTACAGACAATATTTGGCATATTTGTTCGTGCGCACTTCCATTTACATATTTACCAGCGATTCAAATGGTCGTTGTATAAAGATTAAAAGAGCATCGTGAGCGAAGTATTAATAGAGCCGATACAGTGACCGAATATATTGAAGCGCTTATTGCGATTCAAATGTAGGGTGGATCTACGCGAGTATGTACCGAATAACACATAAATATTTAACATATTATTATCCATAGATTTACAGTGGTTCTAACAATGAGTTGATGGCTAGACAATCAAGCGTGTAGCCTACTTCAAAACCTGCTCTTTAAGTGCATATTTATACATGCATCTGACTCCAGACTGCGGACACTTGGTAGGTTTCCGCTTGCAAGTTGGCTTATACCAGTGCAAGTATTCGTACTTGGGCCTTATTAGTTCAAAAATGTGTTGTAGACTTTCACTGCCATATTCTTATCTGAAAAATGATGTGTCGTGCAAACGCAAGAGATTTCTGTGTTTGATTTTAGTACGGTTGAACAAGAAAAACAATAAGAACTTATTTCGAAAGCTGAGTGAACTAGAATTTCGCTTGAATGAAGAAAGCGGAAGTTTACTTTTGTGGAAATGGAGTATATGTTGAGCATAAACGTTCTACTTATGTTATAAGGATTAGGAAAGCAAATTAGAACAAAGCTTAACTATACAAAACAGTGCAAGTACCAGGAAATGCGACATAATTTAGGCTTGTTACTATTAAATTATTATAATGAATATTGGTAGCCCCTGCAGAGGCTGCGCTTCTAAATGTCCGTTCTGGTGGGTCATTGACAGAAAAAAATTATATGAAAAAAGGCTATGGTTGTGTACACAATTGCTGCGAATCTAAGTGAGAAATTTTTAACATGTGTTTCAAATGAAGTTTTGGCTGTTGAGTTAGACTAATTCCTGCCTTAGTGTTACAACAGTGAAGAGAATATAAGAGCAAACTCTTCGTTCAATCTGTCGACTACGTAAATAAATTAAACCGAAGCTGTATCGGAGGCAAATTGCGCGAACCACGCCGATTGAATAAATCCGGTCAATCAGAACAGCAAAGAAACATAGTGGACAAAATAATAGAACACTGTGGTTATCATGCCAATTTCACAAAGCACAAATCAATGTCAAGGTCAAATGCCAACAACCTGTCGAACAATCTGAACACGGACAGTTGTCCTTTCAAATAACATTGTTCCTCTCTGAGACCAAACACCAGAGCTTATAAAGGCGCACGCATACTCTACCCCATGCACTCTCATTGTGGCTCCACTAGGTTAAGCTACTTGCTTCAAGCTACTCAACAAAGCACCGATTATGTTTCATCGATTACTGATGAAACGTTTGCAACAAACTTGTCAACCTCAGCGATTAGGGCGACTGCCATCAGAACAGCCTAGTCTATCAATCTTCGCTATTATTCCAAACTTGTACAATTTTGCATAATTTACAAAATTGCCTTGTATGTTGTGTTTGAAATAGAAACTATGGCAGTGACAAAAATAAACGAATTGAAGAAAACCTGCAGATACAACAATTGGTACTTGAAACGTTGGATTCTCCTATCAGGAAGAAGCGATTAATCGAGGATGTATGAGCTCTCCTAGGACAGGTCTTGCGACCTGGCTCGTGCAGAAGTGGCAGTATTATACAGAAAAATATCTTCCGTGTACGTAGAAGTCACCGATATTAAACGACCAGATTCATATATTTCTGTGAAGAAATATTCAAATCTACACAATTGTTTCCGTTGTGGAAATACCGAACACAATGCAAACAGTAGACCCTACTCCACAAATAACATGATTTACGGAACTGTGGTAAGTCGGGTCAATTTGTCCGATTTTGTCGCTCTCGTACTACTTCTTT